TGTGCACTGCAGCGCAAAGCCATCTAGACTTGTATCTGCTTGCCTCTCAGGGTCTTGCTGAGAACCTGCGTAATGAGAGAGATATGCTGAAGCTGGTGGAGTCCAGGCTGAATCAGGAGAAAGAAGCAATGCAGAGCCAACAACAGAGTCAAAGCCTGCTGATGACCAACCTTCAGGCTATTCAGGTAATCTAGGAGTGTATTTTCTCAGTCATTGACTAGCACACTTTTCAGAATGTTAACAGATGTGTTCTTCTAGGCCACTCTTGAGCGCTCAGAGACTGATACACGTCAGCGTCTCAACAGCCAACTGGAGAAGCAGGAAAGGGAGATCTTTCAGCTGCAGAAGAGGCTGGAGAATGAGGTGGAACAGCGCCACCTGCTTAGCAGAAACCAAGAAGTAGGTTTTTCTACCGCATGGAAATGTCTTCACGCTCTTGATCCTAAAGCTAATAAAAACAGAGATTAAAAGGACTGGAGAATTCAGCATTTTGGTCACTGTATTTTCTTGTGTCATCTATTTCTCATGTACAGATCCAGCTGATGGATGCAAAGAGGCAGCTCGAGACACAGGTGGCTTTGCACCAACAGACCAAGGAGCTACTGAATGCTGCTGAGTTGGAGCTGAACACCCTCAGGCTTCAGCAAGGCAGCGATACACATCATAGCTTGAGTTTGGCCTCCACACCCATCATCAGAGGTTGGCACAAAGATACATGTTTGCAAGGAGAGTTATGTAGCACTAACAATACACATAAGAATCCATACATGTACACACCTAAATGCACAGTGTTTTTTGTGGTTGTCATCAAATCAAATCTCATGGCCTTAAAATTAAGCAAAGCAATTCCTAGGTTCACATCACTGGAAGTCAAATCCTGTATAGCATCTTGTAAAGTCATTGTCTGTGAAATTATTGCTCACTAAAAAGACCTTTTACATACTAGCTTGCATTTTGGAGAAGGCTATAATGATTCTGATTCTGAAATTACTCCGATTTGACAGGTTCTGACTTTTATTCTAGTTGACTGAACCTTTTTTTCAATAAATGCTAGGATGCTATGTTTTTATGAGCTCAGACTGTTTATATGAGACTGAATTCAGCCCAATGAAATGTCTTAGCTATGTTCCTTCTGTTGGTTTAAGGCACAAACTTCTAACCAAGTAATGGTATTTACATTAGTCCATTATCCAGCTTCACCTCCTACAAAAACACATTGCCATTGGCTCTTCCTTCTTTCAGGCCTGCAGGCTTCAGATCAAGACAGAGAGGAGCTACAGGGCCGCTTGCGGCTGGCTGAAAGCCGGGCTGAGGAGTTGACAGAAAGCCTCAGGGTAGCCACCTCCAGCATGGAGCAGTACAGAGCCATGGCTCAGAGCCTGGAGGAGTCCCTGGATAAAGAGAAACAGGTGCACAATAAACCCAGACTGCCTGTCAGTTTCCGCCTCTCACAAAACAACTTGTATAAGCAAATATGTGGGAGGCAGATGAATGTATTACATTTATACACCTCAGGTATTTACCTCACAGAAACTTTAAATACAGTAATGTATTCCCACCCACTGTCAGCTCTAAGATGAATTCAGTTTAATTTATTTCAGCTCAGTTTTATTTGTATAGCACCCCATACAACAAAGGTCATCACAAGAGACTTTACATCACAAGGTCTAAGACATTATCATTATTATTATTATTATTATTGAGAAAAATCCCCCTTGAGCAAGTCCCCTCTAACTCTTTAGATTTTCAGTAAAATAAGTGCAGCAGTTTGTCATTTTCTAGTTGGTGGAAGTTAGTATTTGGGGGTTAAAATAGCCCAGGATGTTGATATTTTAATCTGTCTATCTTTGATAGTTTTTAAAATGCTATTCATTGGATTTTATACAATACATTAAAGTTTAAAAAGTTATGTTTAGCAATTAGCTTTGTGAGCCTAGCTTTTCTTGTAGCTTTGAAAATCCTTTGGGATAATATTGCACACTGGGAAATTTTGTTGATGATTCATTGGTGTATAAAGTTCTTATGGGGATATGTACATATACATTGAGAGCCGATGTACCAGAGTCAATTTCCTCATGTGTCCGACACACCTGGCCAATAAAGCAGATTCTGATTATATTTTCAAATGGCCAGGTAACAGAGCAGGCACGCTCATCTATTGAAGCCTGTATGAAGGATGCTGAGGAGCGTCACCGCAGACTGGAGGAGAAGCTTCTGCAAACAGAGCAAGAGAAACAAGACTTAGAGGAGCAAAAGAGGATAGCCCTGGAATCTCTGGAGGAGCAGGTATATTAAAAACCCACATTAGTAAGCAAGTCCAAATGTTGCTGAACACATTTCCTTAAAAAAAAGTACCCATGTGGCCTTTTGAGTACTGTTTTGCTGTCACTTTAGGTTTCTATTGTTGAAGTAAAGAAATTATTAATAATTGTTTTTGTCATGTGTCTGTCTGGGTTAGATTAACAATCTAAGGAGAAATTTAAGCAATGCCCAGGCAGATAACCAGGCAGCATTGCAGCGAGTTGCTGCTGCAGAAGCCCAGCAGCAGCAGGCTCTACAAGATAGCCAGGAGAAGGTAAGCAGCTACTATAATTATATTGTGTTCTTCCTATTTTCAGTGTTCCAGTTAGAGCTGATACTGATCACTGATTAATCTCATAAATCAGCTGGTCTGTTCCTGACCACCATTTGGTTCCTGCAGAAGATGGTGTACAAAATTTCTTCATGTCCATGTCATAATAGTTTACCAGCTGGTTTGTTAATATATTTATCTTTACATCTGGTTATGTGTTTTTAAACATAATAGGCTATTGTACCTGAAGCAGGGCTTAACAGGTTATTTATTGTTACATTCTGTTGATCACTCATTGTAGGTCTCCTTTTTCTGCAGTTTTCTGAGTGTACAGAAAATGATGACTGAAGGTGGGATCATGAACATGTGTTGGCTGTATTATAATCATTTATTCAATGGCCCTGAGTCTGGCTTAAAAACAGTTATATAGGCATTTTTTCCCATTTTGGTTTTTGTCATATGCGTTTCAGTGCCCTTTACCATGACCCACCCACCCTGTGAGCCAGGGCTGCAGCTTTCCACTGCTAATTGGAAGAGTATTCACAGGTCAGCTCAGCTGGAATGTAGGGGATCCAGCTGTGTTTCAGACTGGCTGAGCTGACATCGCCCTGTCAGTTGGCTGATTTGGATTGCATAGCTTATAGATTTGTGTTTTCAATCATGGAAATCCCTCCATCTCTTGTTTCACTCGCTATCAAACTGGGCATTGCTTAAGGACCACATTTTATTATTTAGTTTTTTGCTGTAGTCTGCTTTTAAGCCTGTAAATAAATGTCCCCACTCTTAATTTCTATACCTCTGAGGCATTTGGTAAAACTGGCAGTCAGATGTCATGACAGATGAAGCTATGTAAAAACACTTTATTGGATAGGACTATCTATTGAGCCTTTTGTTTTAAAAAAAAGAGCTGATCCAGCTTAGTGGTTTAAGTGAGTCAGTGGGCCAAATTATCAGACTAGTGGAAGATATATGACTATATGAATTCTCCTTTTCCATTTCTAAGGCTAAGCTGGCAGCAGAAGCGCAAGATAAGTATGAGCGAGAGATGATGTTGCACGCAGCGGACATAAAGGTCCTGCAGGAAGCTAAGGCTCAGGCCCAGCAGGCCATCGAACTCAGACACCAGCTGGAAGAGGGAGCCCAGAGGATCACTGCTGAGCTGCTAGAGGCCAGGGTCTCCTGGGAGGAGCAGGAAAAGATTCTCAAGGTTGGTATAGGTTATTTTTGATAGAAAGGCTTTAACTGTTCAATCTTAATTTTTTTTTTCTCCTCTTATAGGAGGAGGTGTCCAAGATGGAGAGTCGCTGTGAGGAGTTACAGAGGCAGAACTCCCTCCTGCATGAGCAGATACAGACATTGAGCAGCAAGATGGCTGACAGTTTTCAGCGTGCTGCCAGTGAGAGTACAATGAACATCTCTCTAACTGAAGAGGGCAAATCTCAAGAACAACTCCTTGAAATTCTCAGGTAATGCTTAAAAATACAGTACATTGGGGGGGGGAAACAAGTACACTTCTCATCATTGTTCCTGTCCCTCTGTATTGTTTTTTATTTTTGACACCCTGACTCGTTCTCCATCACAGTTTTGTGCGTCGGGAGAAGGAGCTTGCAGAATCACGTTTTGAGATTGCCCAAGGGGAAAGTTTGCGTTACCGTCTCAGGGTGGAGCACCTGGAACGAGAGCTGAAGGAGGTGCAGGATGGCTTGAGTGCCACGAGGGAGAGGATGCAGGTGTGTTTTTGTACTTTGATTCTCTGATCCTACATTCACAGGTAATGTTTGTTTACAACTACTGCTTGTCTGTAACAAGGTTAGATTGCAGGTGTATAGTTTGGCTTTCAGCTTGACTGTTGTCCATCATACTTGCAAGTTGTTTTGTTTTGTTTATTTACCTGTGTAGAGGAATTGTTTATTTGCTCAGTGTCTTCCAAAGAGATCAAGGCCATTTTGCTTTCAGATATACAGTATATTTATTCAGAAGACACATACATACTGTACATACACTGTGAGGGAGGGAGGGAGAGAACATGTGACTAAAAGCCAGATGATAATTTGACTAAGGTGACAGCGAAGACCCTGGCTCAGCACGATGATCTGATGAAGAAGACGGAAACAATGAGTATCCTGATGGAGACCAACAAGATGCTGAGGGAGGAGAAGGACAAGATGGAGCAAGAACTGCAGCAAACCCAAGCTAAGGTATGCACTTCTGTGGTTTATTAATATACTTGGTGAACTTTCAGTTCCATTTGGTTACGGCTCTTCTTCTGTGCTTCAGGTGCAAAATCTGCAGTCAGACATCATGCCACTGCAGCAGGCGAACTCTGAGCTGAGTGAAAAAAGTGGCATGCTGCAGGCAGAGAAGAGAATCCTGGAAGAGGAGGTCAAGCGCTGGAAGGTTCGGGCGCAGGTCAGTGAAAAGACTAGAAGCCAAACTGCTAATGCTGCTGTATGAAGGGGAAAATTATACTTGTCTTGATTAGAAATGTTGATTAGTTTAGTTTGTGTTAAGAATAGTTTTAAATAAAACACACCACTAACAAAGGTTTTTTTTTGTTGTTGTTGCTTTTTACATGTTCTTCTAGAATTTGGTGAGTCAGCAGAAAGATTCTGATCCAGAAGAGTACAAACGTCTACATTCTGAGAAGGAGGCACATCTAAAACGCATCCAGCAGCTCACTGAGGAGAATGCCAGGATTAAAGCAGAGGTCGTAAGGTGAGGGATAATGAATGATGTAACTGTTGGCAGTTATTAAACACAATATTAAGTGTTTATTTTTCTCCTTTATTGGGTCTCATCTCCCACCTTACCATTAATTTTCTCAATCGTTTTATGCCTCTCTATAGGACCAATAACCTAACAACATCCATGCAAAGTCAGATTCAGAGCTTGCGTGACAATGTGAGTAAGATGACTGATGAGAGGAAAACGCTGAGGAGTGAACTGGATGCCAATAGCCAGGAACTCCAAGAGAAGGCGCGAACCATCACCCAGGTTAAGAGGATCGGACGGCGCTATAAGACTCAGTATGAAGAACTCAAAGTGGAACATGACAAGGTTAAAGCTCAGGAGCTGTTACCCTCACTGCCTTGGTCTTTAATACAAAGCATGCAAAAAGTGCAAAAAACTTTTGGTGTACATGCAAATGTCCGTACAGAGTCTGCAAACCAGAGAAGATGACCAAAATTATGTCACTAGACCATAACAGACAAGCAGACATGGAATGTATAATTTGTATTAATTACGCATCATTAATCCTTTCATACTGTGTTTTCTCCAGATGGTAGCTGAGGCTGCAGCAGGTCCATCCCAGGAAGAGGAGACTCATCAAGCTTCAGTTCAGGAACTCCAGAGTCTCAGAGATTCTCTGAGCCAGGCTGAAACCAGGACCAGAGAGCTGGAAGGACAGCTGGAAAGCATAAATAAGGTTCAACACCAGACTTGTGTTTTTCTTAGCCTCCCACGAGACAAGGCAATAATTGTCTTGCACAGTGAGTTGCTTTTTTACATGCATGTATTTATCTGTCTCTTGTTTTCTGGGCCTGCCACAGGTGGTTACAGAGCGTGACACTGAGCTGCGTAATGCTCAGGAGCAGTCATCCATGATGCAGACAGAGCTGACCAGGCTGCAGCAGGAGCTGCAGGATAAAGCTTCCCAGGAGGAAACGCGGAGGAAGCAGATGTCCGACAAGGATGATAAGACCAGGAAAGCCCTTGTTTTGGCCAGACAGAAGATTAGCCATGTTTTAGGTGAGAGGGTGTCTTCATATTATAACCAGCCATGCCCCTATTTGTAGTATTGCTTGCTTGTTGTTATTTGGATCTCACACCTAACAAATTGATATTCAGCTACCAACGACCAGCTACAGAGGGAAAATGTGGAGCTGAGGCAGCAGCGGGAGGAGCTGGAGGTGCGTGTGAGCGCTCTCAAGTCTCAGTATGAGGGCCGCCTGAGCCGGCAGGAGAGAGAACTGAGAGATCTGCGAGGTCAACAGGAGAGACAAGAGCAGAGAGATGAGCCACCTGAGGCAGGACCTAGCAAGGTGAGCGTCTGCTTTTAAGTTTCCGTAAGCCAGACATTTTAATTTTAGTAAAAATTTACATAGAATACTCTTGACTTTCACGTTTGTTCTTCAAGCCAAATATCATGTAGAATAGTCTGGTAAATCTGTTTCATGTTATAGGACAACTGCTCCTTCTTTGGCGATACCTTGCTGACAGTTAAATAGATTGGATTAAAGAACTGCAACTTGTAGCACTGTTGTAAGTGGAGTGACTTGTTGGTCTCCATCATGACTTTGACTCTTTTAGACCCAGGAACAGCAGAGGACCACAGAACAAAGACAGATCAGTCTGAAGACAACTCCAGCTGCAGATAGGGGCAGGTATGATACATAACCACCGGAACTACATATTGAGTAATAAGTTTATCTTGTGGTGAAACATGAGTATGTATAATCCTACAATTATGGGCTGCTCTTAGTACACTTGCATTGACTTGTTCAGGTCTTTCTTACTCAAAATGTACATCAGTAGATTCATTATCAATGCCTTGATCTTTGTCTCTGTCAGTGCCAGCACCTCTGAGCCTCCAACTGCCAACATTAAGCCAACGCCTGTAGTCGCTACAGCTAGCAAGCCCACTCCAAGAGCAAGCATCAGGCCCATGATCACACCAGCTCCTGTACCCACTCCAACACCCACTGCTACGGTCATGCCCACCACACAGGTGGAGACCCAGGAAGGTAAGCAAAGCTTCAGACAGTGCAGGAAACCTACTGATTGACATTGTTTCAAGTCTCAAGTGACAAAGGTTACTCTGATAAGGACACAGTCAATTGGTTATGGATCTCTTTTGCAGCCATGCAGTCTACTGAAGGCCTACCAGTGGAGCACGTGACTGTGTATGGCAGTGCCAGTGGCTCTGTGCGTTCTGCCAGCCCCAATGTCCAGACCACCTTAGCTAGCCCCATGCTTACTGCTCAGCAGACCCAGACCCAGACACAGGCCACAGCATTTGTTCAGCCAACACAGCAGCAGAGCATGACCCATACAGAGCCAGCCAATCAGGAGCCACCAGCTCTGGTCATTGAGGCAACACCTAGCTCACAGGTGGAATGGCCTTCAACGTCCTCTGCCTCCGCTGTGTTTGGCACTGGTAAGAGCACCTGGTTTTAAGGTTTTAGTACAGTTTTACTTTAATACTGTTGTATTTTGGGATATACCACAATACTCTGCACTAATTAAAAAAAATAAACCTAAGATATTTTGCATGTTATAATGAACGTTATTTGGATTGTAAATCTTTGAAAGAAAAAAGTTGACTATACAGATTCCATTTTTGAATTTGTGTCAGACAGGTTGGCTAAAAATAGATTGCTGGTTGTTTCATGTGATATCTATCCAGTATGAGCATACACAGAGGGAGAAATTTTAACAATTGCCATGCATTATCTTTAGTTTCAGCAACACCAGGAACCTCCTCGATATCCAAGAGGCCTCGGGAGGAGGATGAAAGCACCACCATGGTCACTGACACCGAGACTGCCCAGGAGGACACCTCCAGGACTCCTATACCCAAGAAACTCCGCATCGTCCAGCGAGTGGGGCCAGAGGTGAGGAACAGGGTTACACAGAAGGTTGTGTAAAAAAAATACATACTTTTTTTTTTTTAATGGTCTTTAATAGTCTGTAAATTATTGGTGCAGGTCTGATTGTTGTGTTTTTTCTCAGGAGGAAGAGCTGGTTGACGACAGTGCTGAGGCTGAGGGTGTGGGGCCTATAGACAGTCATGACAGTGTAGAAGAAACCCAGGTTGGCCATAGAAATATTAAGTGAACACTTTTAAATCTGACTTTATTTTTGTATATTTTCATTCAGATTTCAAGTTAGTCTTTTGATATTTTGATAAAAGCAATAAATACAACCACTGTTGTTAGTCAGAGCTATTATAGTAATAACAACTGTAGCAGTTCTCAGTATTGTCTTCACTTTTCCTCTTCATTGTTTACAGTTGGAAAATGGATATTCAGTTAAATTTAGCAGTTTTCTCTTTTGTTGTACCAGAGAGAATAAACACAGTGCAGGTTTTTTTCCATCTGCTTCTCATTGACTGTGTAACCTGCCACTGCCAAGGGTCATGCGGGAGGAGTTAACAATAATAATGCTGCAGAATTATTGTGATCACTGTTAGTACTATGTGTAGGACACCTTTTTAGGAAAGGTATTAGTCCTTCAGCAGTTACTGACAAAGCATGTAGATGAGCAGAATGTGTGTTGTACATGCCGTATTCTTCTTTGCCCTGCAGACAGAGGACTTACCAACACTGGAGGAAGAAGAGACTGCAGCAACCCAGTCCATAACGATGGACCAGGAAGTGAACCTCACCCAAAGTGACACCTATGACCAGCTGTCCCAGGAAGTGATTGTCATAATAACAGACTCAGAGACTGATGAGGACCAGGAAGAGGAGGTAGAGGAGGAAGAAGAGCAGGTAGAAAGTGTTTGAAAAGGCAGTATGAAAAGTTCCATTATCCATCATATTCAAAATTTTGTTACTAATGGGTTTTCCGCTTCCCCATTGCAGGACTATGATGAAGAAGAAGAGGAAGATGAAGAGGAGGAAGAGGAAGATGAAAATGATGAGGATGAAGATGAAGGAGCGATGGGGGAGGAAGGAGAGGACAGTAATGAGGGGAGCGGGGATGGCAATGAGGCTTACGAAGGAGAAGACACAGAGGTTTGTTTCCCTGTGTCACATAATGTTTTCACTGTGTTCTCACCCACACGTACTTTCACACCACATTAACCCTTTATGTGCCTGTTCCAGCTCACAGTTTTTATACCATACTAAGTTTTTCCATACTGGCTCATTTCACTGTTGCTTGCATTTTATCCCCGTGTTGTAACTTCCAGTCTGTGCAAGCTGTGTGTGCTGACCTTAGTTGTTTACCTTTTTACTCTGGTCTTGGTTGCTCAGTGCGATGAGACAATGTCTACAAAGGCACAGTCAACTGTCATTCACATGTAATCTGCATGTCTGCAGTTGGGAATATGCAAACCCTTGTCCAGTGTTGTGTTTGTGTGTGATTGGATATTAAATAATAAAAGTATTACTTTTGAAAACACTTGTAAGAAGAAAAGAGCATATACCAGCTGCAACAGTGTCCGAAGTTTAGTAATAAGCAATAGAATAGCTTGTAGCTGTTTCTTCTCACTGCAGTATTATGAGAAATTTTTGCCAAATCAGAGGAGTCGGAACCGGCTTTTTAATATTTCTAAGGGTTTACTTATAATATCCCCCTAATATCTGTTGTCAGTTTGGAAATTGTTAAAGTAACTTTTAGGTCTGCAACTGACAATAACTGTTGGTCATTTTCTAGATTAACTCATTATACTTCTGTCTTTAAAACATCAAAAACGGTGATAAAGTTTTAGTTCCCACAGCACAAGGTGGCATCTTCAGATCTCTTGTCTGTTCAGCATCCTAATACTCAGTTTACCATCGTTTGAGAAGCCAAAGACAGGAAACACTTCGCTTTTTTCTGAGAAAATGACAAATAATTGTTTAATTATCAAAATACTTGATAATTAATATTCTCTTAATTAAATAAGTGATTAATTGACTAACCATTGAAAGTTTTATATATTGAAATAGGAATGTTTTTATTGTCACGTGCTTGCATCGGCCGTGGCTGGAGGCATTATGTTTTCATGTGTCAGTCCGTCCATCACATTCTTGTGAGTGTGATATCTCAGGAACACCTTCAGGGGATTCCGTTAAATTTGGAACAAGCATTCGCTTGGTCTCGAGGATGATGTGACGAAGCTCTCCTCAGTCTTGTGAATTGCTTTGTCTCTCTCTGTGAAGATGCATATTCCCTTGAATCATACATGTCAGTATACTGATAACTTGCGTTTTGCCAAAACATTAGTGTCTTTTGTTAAATTCCCTCAAAGTTTTCACTACAAACATTGAGTCTTGACAGATGTGCATGTAAACTGCTACTTGAATAGTTGAAGGCAAACAACTGCGTGGTGGAAATTCTGGTTTTTACTTGAATTTTGGACCTTCTCTGGAAGGTGTGTTTGTTCCATATAAGGAGAAGATGAATCATAATCCTTATGTGACGCTTGGCCAGTTTAGCTTTTTAAAATTCTGTTTGTGATTTTTCCATTTCTTTGACTATAGATTTTCCTCATTCTTTTGTCCTTTTCTTTCTCAGGGAGCTGATGCAACAGACCCGGGCACCGAGACAGAGGAGAGTTTGGGGGCGTCTGACTCCACCCAGCGGCCAGCAGATTCCCAGACGCCCAGCTGTAAGATCCAGGAAACTTTGTCTTACACACACACACACACACACACACACACACACACAGGCATCCACCTCAGACTCTCCACATGTACTCACAAACTGTCTTGCCATTCAATTAGTTATCTCATGCTTCTCAGTGACTGAGAAAGATGTAATATGTTGTTGTTGCACAACTGTTGGCCAAAGTAAAGGTCATGTACGCCCACCTGTAAGATACAGGAAACTTTGTCTTACACACACACACACACACACACACACACACACACAGGCATCCACCTCAGACTCTCCACATGTACTCACAAACTGTCTTGCCATTCAATTAGTTATCTCATGCTTCTCAGTGACTGAGAAAGATGTAATATGTTGTTGTTGCACAACTGTTGGCCAAAGTAAAGGTCATGTAGAGCAACAGCTGCTTTACTTTGAAAATGAAACAAACATTTAAAGTGATTTTGCTCATATTATAGTCATATATAGCTTATAGTTAAACAATTGGGAATCAAATAATAGAAAAACAAGTATTCCCAGTTGGTGTACACTGAAGATACAACCTTTTGTACATGCTGTTTTACAAAACACTAGCCCCTTATACACAGAGATTACAGAAAGCCTCCTTCAAGGCTTATTTATTTTTTATTTAAGCCCTTTTACACAGAGCTTAAAAGAGCAGGCAAACTACCACGCCTGCCTTCCTTTTACACAGCTGCCAGAAGTGTGATGCTGATCGTGACGTCTGACAGTCCTTATACATGATTCACACCATTTTCAAATCTGAATTTAAGAGCCAGTAAATAAAGTACCGTAATAAAGAGTGAGTTGGTTTTTGATAAGTACTTTTGTTGGCAATTTTTATATGTCTGATCCAAAGTAAACAGACCTCTTTGTTTGAACCATTTAATAGTCGAGGGCAGTACAATGGAGGCCTTCTCTGCCGAACAACCTATCACAAGCTCTGGTACACGTATGCCCCAGTCGCCACGGAGACCGACACATCAGTTGCCTCCCTACCTGAACATCCACCCTGCTACAACATCCGAGCTGGCACCACCTGCTCAGGTTCAGGTACAAAGGAAGAGTAACCTACTGTTAGGGAAAAATCTGTTTGTTTGTTTATGCCTGTCTGTGCTCTTCACCGCATTAATTAGAGGTGCCTTAATTACTTGTAACTTCAATCCACAGAAACATATTAGCAGATATTATGATGATAAAATCATCATTTTAGTAATTTTTAAAGCAAAAATGCCAGTCATTTGTTTCTGATACCTGAATTTCATAGATGATACAAACTCAATATCTTTGGATTTTGGACTGTCTGAGAACGAGTCTATCTATCAGAGAGAGAGAGATTTATACAGTGTTTGGCTTTTTTTAGACTAAATGTGTAATCAGTTCATCAGCACATGAATCAGTAAAGAAAATAATTAATTGTCACAACCCTGTTATTAATATATCTTAATGATACCTCTATGTGTAGATCACAAGCACCTATAAAAATATTTTTCCACATCTAATTTTACAGTGTATCCCCGTTCGGCGCCAGTCAGTGGGCAGAGTTCCTCAGCTTGCTCCTGGGGTGCTGGGCAGTTCTGTAAGTCACATCTGCCATCTGAGAACATTCCAGAACTTATAGCCGTGATGTTGTGAAACCTTTAATACTATTTGTGCATGTTTGTATCCAACACTTTCTGCCATCTGTGCATCGCAGCAGCAGCAGCAGCACGTCTTTGAAGATGATGACAGGATGGTTCCCAGCACTCCCACTCTGGTGGTGCCGCACCGCTCCGATGGTTTTGACCAGGCCATCCAGTAAGTCTCACGCATGCACACAGACCAGGAAGTCAGAATACCCCAGAAATGTTTGATAGCTCATGATTATTTGTAACAAAAACACTGATAATACTTTACATGATCATATAGTATTGATCTAATACGATGCTGGTTACATTTAATGTACATTTATATTATTTTTCTGAGATTTCCAGAGATAACCTGATTTTACTTTAACACTTGTTGGTTGCTTCAATCAGTGTTTGCATTTTAATGTGTTACTTTCTGTTTTGATTTTGAGATATAACTAAATCTTAAGACATATGCATGCTTTACATTAAATTTTCACACAGACCCCTGTGTGTATACTTTAATTCAGAGGCTTGGGTATATATTTAGAAAGGGGGGCTAAAATACCTGGAGCCATTGTCAGTTTGTTGTCTTACAGCAGTGGATGACTGTTTTTTGTTGTTTTGTTTGTCAGTTCTCCCCAGGTGGCTGGTGTGCCTCGCTTCCGGTTTGGTGCTTCAGAGGACATGCCACAGACTGCCTCCACCTCCACCTCACTTTCTGACCTGGTCCAGCTTGCATCACAAGGAGGTACTCCCCTACAACTTGATGTGCACAGTTATGTCATTGATCAGCCCTTTATCTAAGTGAAACAGAATGATTGAACACGAAAAGTTTTGTTTGTTTGTTTTCTTTTTATACTGCAGAGCAATTCCTGTCTTCAGGTCTTGGGATGTATGAAAGCCCCCCGTTTTTAGCAACTCATGAAGAGGAGTCTGGTGGACGCAGTGTTCCCACCACACCACTGCAAGTTACAGCACCAGGTATGTGTCAGTCTGATATGAAAGGAGCAGTTCTGTGTATAGACCCAGTCTTCTTATCAACATACATACAAATTAGTTTCTGAAAACAGCCGGTAAACAGGGTAGATGTTTTTGGCTGTAGCAGGACTATCAGATGCTAAAATAAAAAAAATCTTCCAGTAATGGTCTTCTCAGAGGTGGCTCAGTCGGACACAACAGAGCCCGCCACCCACTCTGTTCCTATGGTGAGCACATCAACACCAAGCCTGGTTGTGCCAGGATCAGTCAGTTCTGGAGAGGAGAGAGATGATGTCTTCCTGGAGCCAGACACTGAGAGGTGAGTCTCGCTCTTTAATGCCCTTTTGTCTTTTTTTTTTTTTTCTGCTATGAGAATTTAGACCTGTAACAATAGGATTCAGTGTGTGTTGCCATATAAAGTCCAGTCCTGTTTTGAAATTCAAACCTTTGTTCACTACAGATCAGTCGCTTTTTTGTGGCCACGTTTTACAGGCCCAGTGCTGAAATGTCAGTGGATCCAGTGGTGTCCCAGGGAGATGTGGATGAGCCAAGCCAGGCATCTGACAAAGCCAGCTTCCCCTCCACCAGCCAGGAGCCTTCCTCCAGTTCTGCAGGTGCAGTGTAGCCTCGTGATTCCCTGTAATTACTCTTTATGTATATTACTTAGTGTTCACTTCTGATTATCATGTCTTTCTAGATACAAGCAGTGCTCCACCTAAGTCCTCCAGACCTGGACCCAGCAGACAGCTGCAGCGCTGGCCAGAGAGCCGCGGTGGACGCATGAAGAGAGGAGGTAACACATTCGAAACCACACACAAGACCACATGATATTAATCAGGGCCATGAACATCTAGGCCACATGTGTCAAACTCAAGACCCGCGGGCCACATCCGGCCCGGCGTACAATTACATCTGGCCCATGAGATCATTTTATATATTTCTTTTTTAATGGCCTGGCGATATGAAGCGCTGATAACACACAAACTACAAATCCCATAATGCAGCGCAACAGCTGCCTTACCAAACGATAGGCTACCTGCGATCATTCCCGTGTCACTTGCGTCAGATCAGTCAAGCGTCTGTTGATGTATACAACCCTAATTTCAAGTCAAAGCTAGCCCCCAACAATGGCCAAGAGAAAGGTTGATACTGAGAACAGAGCCTTTGAAAACCGGTGGGAGGCTGAGTATATGTTTACTGACATTGTCGGTAAACCTGTGTGTCTTATTTGTGGAGCTAATGTGGCTGTAATTAAGGAATATAGCCTAAGACTGCACTACGAGACAAAACATCAGGACAAGCTGAAAAACGTGAATGTAGAGCAGAAGCTCCAGAAGGTAGAGGAGTTGAAGAGGAATCTGACATCACAGCAGACGTTTTCACCAAAGCCAAATCACACAGTGAAGCTGCTGTGAAAGCAAGTTTTATTGTGGCAGAGGAGAAAATCAGCCCGAACATTTACCGAGGGAGAGTTTCTAAAGAGCTGCATGATGAAAGTGTGCGACGTCTTGTGTCCAGACAAAATGCAGGTGTTTGCAAATGTAGCCTTAGCAGAAATACAGCTGCTGATTTTAAGTTCAAGTTTATTTATTTATTTTGGAATAATATTGTATCCTGCCTGTTTCGATTCATATTTATGTTTATCCTGTTCGGCCCGCACCTAAAGTGTGCTTTGGGTTTTGGCCCCCTGTGTGATTGAGTTTGACACCCCTGATCTAGGCCCATGGTGCCCTTGTGTTTCAGTAACTCACAAATATCACAGTGCTGGATGGAGCTTCCACAAATGTTGACAACACTGCAGTCTTTATTGTAAATCAAATGTACTGATGAGCAGCAGCATTACAACCAAAGGAAGATAAAGTGAATAACACTGATTATCTTGTTCTATATAATTTGGGTTCAATGAAGAATAACAGAGGAAATACTGTCACAATATCAGTATCATTTTATACAAGCATTCTACAGAATCTTTTCATCAGTATAGGCTTTGTTTGAAAAATATTTTGTGTCTCAGCAGGTCAAGCATTTCCTTCTCGAGGTGTACACGGGAGACGATTCGCCAGGTGAAGCACTGAGCAGGAATCTTGAAAGCCGTGACTAGACAGTGTTTACATTCTGTTGTCTTGTTCTCAAACCAAATTTTTTGCTTTTTGTTTTAATAACCTTGGAAACCACCTTGTGTAATCAGTCTGTGCTGAAGCATTGTGTTTTATGAAGAATGTAATAAACTTTAAAACTCTAGGAAACCTGGTCTCAAGGGCAACTTTTTAACAACAGTCTGTTATTCAGTCAAACTTTCTTTGAGCATTTGAAGAGGTCATTGCTCTGAGGGGGTGCGTTGGCTTTTGGAGCAGCAATGACGGGATGTTCACCCTCCATCTTCACGTTGTAGGATTTGGCTGCAAAAGAAGATTGGTTATTTGATAAGTTGATTAAGCATTTAAAAGTTATGAAGTATTCATGGTGCCCCCACCCCCCCACCCCCTTCATGCACTTGCCAGTTTCCATTTTACTGAATGTAACTTTGGCATAACATAAACCAAACCAAATCTTTTCCATCTTCAAACAGTCCTGGCTTTAACCCAGTCTTTAGGATATTAACTTGGACAGCTCTTGGCTACAGCAGGACCTGAATTTAAAGAACTGTCGTGTTTCACCAGTGACGTATATGACTAGACAGCCACTCCTGTCAGGACACACAAACTGTGGACTGTTAACTGAGTGAAACATTTTTCTCAAGACCTACAGCCCTACTCAGTTATACTGTAAGTAGCATCCTTGACATGGAACCTTTTACTGTGGTTACTCCACAACAGATTTGAACTGTAAGTGAATGGACACCGCCCTTGATGACTTTTGTCTGCCTAATCCGCCACTCCACCCTGACGCACACACCCAGACACATGGTCCTTGTTAGGTATTTCAGACATGACATGAATGATGCTAATTGTATTTTTGCAGACAGTGAAGTAAAGGATGTTTTGTTCTTTTGAAGTTGAGTAATGAAATAATCCTATGAATGGCAGAGTGACGGAGGAGATCTAAATCTAATAAACCACAACTGCTACTTAGATGTCTTCATCCTCTATAAAGTGACAGGTTTCAAGGCAAAGAGTTTTAACAACCTTCTAAATTCAGGTCTTGATGTGAACAACGCAGTTTTCCAAAAACCAGTTCCTGATTATTTTGGAGAAAATAGTTTAAATTGAATTTACAGCCTAAATCTGTTCAAATAAGAGCTACAATTCTTGTACTGGCATGAATTTATCGCTGACTTACATCTTGAGAAAATGTAGTATTTATATCCCTCAGGTTCTTCGTTGCTGGGGACGGACACAGCAGCTGTGATGGTGGAGGGGAAACCTCTCCAGGACATTCGGATGCTAATGGCCGGCTCTAAAACAGACGCTGGAAACAAAACAGTTGAACAAAAAATGAGTGATATGATACCGTAATAAAAACAGGCCAGGCTGTCCCATTGCTTTCCTCATTTGAAATGTTATATCTGAGATGATTTTGTTTCTGACAAAGCTCACGGCTCCTCAACAGTTGTATTCCCATACACGGTACAGACTCTCTCCACCTGCCATTTATGTACAAATGGATCTTGTTGCCACTCTCACCTCTACAAAAGCATGATTCACTTTACAGAGAACTATAACTCAGGTAAAATCTGTTTACATGAGTTTAAGTAATTTGATGAAATGCTTAGCAAACACCCAGTCCAGTAAGCACAGTTACATTTGTATGGGACCACTCAAATGAAGGAAATAAAAAGTAAAGTATGCCATTGTTAATGTAGCATTCAGTACAAAGAAGCATGGAGCTCTTGTTTTGTAAGCAGTGGTCATTTATGGAGCACCTGCATGTCGAGTCCTCCGGTTTCTGGCTGCGTTTATGCCATTTTGGACTTTTCTGCCACATGTTGGGCTGGTGCCAGACTGGTACGAGTATTTCTGGACAGATCCCCCTGGAAGAATCAATTAACACGACTCATTCAGTCATTCAGAACATTATCATGGTATTACTTTAATCAGCGGAAAAGATTCAATCAGTCATCACCTCTTTTGAAGAAATAAACGGACTCCTTCCTCCTCTGGTACTGAGGCACAGACAGGGCTGCGGTGATGTGGCCCTGAAGCCCATCAAAGCCTGTTGCAACGACTTGAGGATAGCCCGGGTCCAAAACATCATTTTCAAATCTCCAATACTGTGTTCCCTTCACAAGTCACAGCAAAGAAAACCATTAAACCCCAGGCAACTAAAATGTACCTGCACAGCAATTGACAGAAATGGACAACAGGCCATCGGGCCTCCAGAAGAAATATAAGATGGTTTCATCAAAGCAGAGCTGAGATCTGCACAGCTGCATCCTGATACAGTGCAAACATGCATGAAATTCTTAACTTCGCTTTTCATTTACCTTGAATATGTATGTTTTCCCCTGGCAGTTGCAGCGGGTGAACACTGTGTCAATGGGGGAAGGGACGCCCCACACCTGTGTGATGCCTCTGGGTGGACCTGGCACCTTATTTCTACCCAGGAACCAAAAGTAGTGTCCTGTGAAAAAATACTGTAAGATTACTACATAAAGGTGGGTCACCTTCATACAATTTTTGTCATTTCTGCTCCGTAGAGCACTCAGGCCTGTGAGTTGTGCTATCTGTTGCAGTGGTAGAAGAAGTATTCAGATCCTTTACTTAAATAAAAGGACTAATACCAATGGAGCCAATCCCAGCTTACATTGGGCGCGAGGCAGGGTGCACCCTGGGCAGGTTGCCTATCTCTTTTGTCCATCAATTACCTGGCATTTGACTCAACACGGTAAGACATATCCTGGTGTGAACACACTCAACATCAGCTTCATACTAAGCACTAACCTCTGAAAATCACCATTGTGCCGTTCCTCAGTGTGGTGACAGCACCAATCGGCCGCCCACTACACAGATTTGTATCATTGCTGTCATCTGGAAAAAAAGGACACATTTATGAAGAGACCATTTTGTTTGGGTCACAATAAGAAAAAACATGTAAACACTGACTGAGTTACTGAGTATTAAATGAAATTTTTGTCATCCAGGAGCTGTAGGGACATTTTTTGTTTTTATAACTTTTTTCTCATTCTTTAAAATGTTGGGGATTTATTTCAAATTTCAAAGGTCTGCTTGAGTCATTCACAATGTGGGAAAACAGCCACTCCTGTCATCTAATGTAATGTAGATATGATTTGAAGGGCACTGTGTTCACCCAGAACCATAATGAAAAACAGCTGAGCTCAACCTGGTTTAGGTTGCAACCTGTGATAAATATGAACCAGACACTAGAGGCCTCTGTCTGTGTCGTAGTGTTAGACTCATGTAAAATAGATTAGATCTTAACAGAGGTTACAGGAAAGAAATGTTACTCGCACTGAAGGCAATTTGTTTTCTGTGACAGTTGTGTTGTGGACCTGGATCAGTGGTGAGTATACTTCCTACCTGCTTGGTAGTCTCTTGGATCTTTAGTGCTCAGAGTTTGTGCAGCGTCCAGAGGTTTAGTCGCAGGTTTAGAGGTGGGTTTAGCCGGAGTCGGTTCAGTTGGTGATGACTTGTACACGTCGGGTTTGTCCTGGGGTTGTGAGGTAGCTTCAGATGGCTCGGTCACTTCTGAGGTCACTGTTATAAGATCAGTAGTAGTTACTTGTGCTGTCACATCATCAGTAGTGTCGCCCTGCACCACAGCTGTGTATGAGGGAGTGTGGGTCGTTAGGACATCAGGCTCTGACAAGTTCTCGGGCCCTGATGGAGAAATACTGCTGGAAGGATCAGAGGGAGGGCCTGTTGTGGCATCCTCTGGTTTAGGGTTTGAAGTGGTTGCCTCTGGGATGAGATTTGCATCCGCCACTGATGAGGCAGGGAGAGTGATGGGCTGAGAGTTTTCCAAAGTTGTGTATCCTACAGTGAGTTCTGTGGATACTGAAGCCTCAGGTGAGTGGGGGGTTGTGCTGAAGGGCAGAGTTGTAACCTCTGGCTTATGAGAAGAGACTTCAGTTGTGTTTGTCTTCTGTGGCTCAGTTGATGTGTCATCCTCAGATTGTACTTCTGCTTGCTCTGTGGTGCCCGGCTCTGTGGTGTTCGGCTCTGTGGTGTTCGGCTCTGTGACACCCGGGTCTGTGGCGCCCTGCTCTGTGGCGCCCAGGTCTGTGATGCCCTGCTCAGTGGCGTCCAGCTAACCTCTGGCTTATGAGAAGAGACTTCAGTTGTGTTTGTCTTCTGTGGCTCAGTTGATGTGTCATCCTCAGATTGTACTTCTGCTTGCTCTGTGGTGCCCGGCTCTGTGGTGTTCGGCTCTGTGGTGTTCGGCTCTGTGACACCCGGGTCTGTGGCGCCCTGCTCTGTGGCGCCCAGGTCTGTGATGCCCTGCTCAGTGGCGTCCAGCTCTGTGGTACCTGGGTCTGTGGCGTCCAGATCTGTGCTGCCTTGCTCTGTGGCTCCCATCTCTGTGACACCTGGGTCTGTGGTGCCCTGCTCTGTGGCGCCCAGGTCTGTGGTACCTGGGTCTGTGGCGTCCAGATCTGTGCTGCCTTGCTCTGTGGCTCCCATCTCTGTGACACCTGGGTCTGTGGTGCCCTGCTCTGTGGCACCCAGGTCTGTGACACCCGGGTCAGTGGAGCCCGGCTCTGTGACGCCTGGGTTTGTGACACCCTGCTCTGTGGCACCCTGCTCTGTCACGCCTGGCTCTGTGGCGCCCAGCTCTGTGGCGTCCGGCTCTATGGTTCCCGGCTCTGTGGCACCAGTTGAAGTTGTAGGCCTTGCTTCAGGTGTAGGGGTTGACGTAGGCTGACTGGAGACATGATCAGCTGCTGTGGGCTGAAGGTGAGTTGCTCCTGGGTAGGCTGAGGTGACAAGATCACTGGCATCTAGTAAAGCACAAACATGAGCATAAACTTTTACATTTGAACAAAATTTAATCAGTGGTAGTAAGAAGCATGTTAATAAATGATGAGATTGATGACAGCGTCTACAGATGGGTGGCAAAATACATGAATAAATGAGCAGAGAAACAGGACAGACAGGACAGTTTCACGTACTGAATACTCAGTGGTGGAAGAAGTACTCACCCTTTACTTAAGTAAAGTAGCAGTGCTGCAGTCTAAAACTAGTCTTACACATGAAAGTCCTACATTCAAAATGTTGCTTAAATAAAAGTATTAAAGTATTAGCATCAAAACATGCTTCAAGTACTAAAAGTAAAAGTTTTCATTATGCAGAATGGCACATTTAACATTAATGGATATCATATTACTGGATTATAATTACTGATACATTATTGTGTACATTACATTTTATGTTTCAGCTGGTAAAGGTGGAAACTAATGTTAACTGCCTTATATACTTATAATTTGAAATACTTTACATACTGCTGAGTAGCTTGTGAATTTCCCACCAAAGATCAATAAAGTTTTATGATGTGACTGTTTTATTATTTAATTATTATTATATTATAATTTTTGCATTAATCTAGTTTTGAAAAGTAGCTAGTAGCTAAAGTAAAGCATGTGCCTCTAAAATGTCGTGAATTCAAAGTACAGTATGTAGCACAAAGTAAAAAGTGCTTATACCTCAAAACTGTACCTAAGTACAGTACTTGAGTAAATTTAGTTACTTACCACCACTGTAAATAGTTTTGTAATCTTTATTTTCTACACAAGCATGTAGAATTATGTGGATAACCGGTATAGGATATACACTCAGTTACCAATTTATTAGGTCTCTAGCTAAAATGAATGCAGCCTAATACAACAGTCCTACAAAAAGGTGATAATGTTTCATTTTTATTTTAAAGAGGTGTTTTATTCATTAATCTCTACCATCAGTCTTCCTTTAATTTGCCACCTCTCTCTCTGTTGCTGCCTAATAATCCCTGGTTATCACATACCTGTGCTCTCAGTGGGCCCATCTCCACTACTCATGTAAAGGGTGAAGGGGCTGTCATCGGCCTGTGTTGGCTCATTATCTGCGTGAGTCATCGCTGTCTGAGAAAAGACTATAACTGTCTCTGTGTCCAGATTCAGGGTGGGTTCAGTAGACACTTGATCCAGAAGGTCGACCATAGACAATCCGTAGCCGCTGTTCTCTTCTGGGACTCCGTCCTTCACTCCATTGCTGGAAAAGTCATCACTGGGATAGACTGGACTGTACGTATCTACAAGATTGTGAGAAGTGAGAAGGTGTGTGTACTAAGATATCACACTCAGAAAATGTACTGGTGAAAAAGCCTAGATTTTATCAGGAGGGCTCATCGCTCACCATCACTGAGAACATCTGGTGGATAGGATGTTGGGTTGACCAGTGGAATTACATGATCCCCTGTGGGCAAAATAAGACAAATTCACCCAAATAATTGTATATAATTGGCCAAATTAACAAATCTCTGTTTTTCCTGGTTTTGTTTATGTGGCCATGCAGAACGCTCAGACTGTGACATTCCAGACAGAAATGTCACGGCATGTCTTCCTCCTGAGAGAGAAGTACGTAACAAGGATGTAAGAGGATCTTCACCCACACAACTGTTCCAAGCCAAATCCTGAGTTGAAATGTCCTCTCATCCTTTCTTGGCTTCATTTTGCGCTTTCCTGTCTTGAGACTGAGCCTGTGCCCGTAACTCTCCTACACACTCATGGCAGCATTGCTTCCCTGTGTTTCTTTTGGCCAGTGAAGCTTTTCCTATGAGACTTGGCCCCCAAACCATAGCGACAGAGCCACAGTGTGGTGGTCAAGCAGCAGGTAGGTAAACAGTAACATAAAGTTCTGTATAACTTTACTGAATACATTTCTAAGAGCAGCATCACCTGCATTGTTTCCCTCGCTAAATGTAGAAGGCTGCTTCGGTGCTTTATTCAAAGCTGGATCTGTGGGAATATTCAAGAATAAAAATTAGAGGGTTAAGTCTAGAAAAGATTACCTACCTTAAATTCCTTAATGCTGAACATGAGGGATATCAACAAATTTTATCATTTACAGTATCACATGAGCTAGTTGTCACTGGTGCTGTTGTAGTGGCTGCTCCACTGATTTCTTCTGTGGTAATTACCAAGACAGAAAATACTGTCAAATGTATCCATCAGTGCAGATGACTGCATGCACAGCATACTACTCCACATGGAGGTGCACATGCAAGTTTGTGTTTTCTTATTATTCCTGGCTTTTTTGTGTTTCCATTCATGCGCACGTGTTAATATCAAATGTACACAATTATAATTGTTGCATGACAGTCCAACTGAGAAAGATGAAGGCTGATTTTAACATGCAGCCATGTTTTCACACAACCATCACCGTGTTTGATTATGTATGAAAACAAAGTGCCAAAAGATGGCACCAAAGGTGTAGGACCACTGTTAGGACATCAAATATCAGGAGAGCAAATCTCATGCTCAGACTACTGAGTACAAAACTGAAGGGAATCTGTAGAGGTTAACGTGCAGAAAATACACACACAATCATGCCGAATGTGTTGAACATGTCTTACCTTCTGCTTCACAATGGGTCTTGTAATCTGGACAACACTGCTTGTACTTCATGCAGTCAGAGTCGCAGCTACACAGTCGACCTCTCTTGAAGGTTTCTCCACACCGGCCTTTACATGAATTTTCTGTTGCATGCAAATATAGCAGGCTTCAACACAACAGTCCTTTACAATAACACTGCACAAGGCTGATTATATTCTGCACATAAATTGTTATACATAGGAAATATTCAAGCAGAAGGTGAAATGTTGCTATATTCAGATGATTGATTTAAACAGAATCAGTTCAAACCTGAGAAATCAGTAATAAATTGACATGAAAACCTCAAAATTGTTGAAGAATGTGTGTGATTTGAAATCATTAACACATGTGGCTAACAGTTTCTGGGGTTATTTTAACTATGCCTCACTTGTGGTGCATTGAGATTCATAGTCTTTGCAGCACTCTCCATAAAACAGGCAGCTATAATCACACTGGCACATGTAGCCTCTGTAGTACTCCACACCACATCGTCCCCTGCAGCTCACTGTTAATAAGACAGAAATCCATGAATAAATGTCAGAGAGAGAAACACACTGCAGAATATTACATTTAAGATGTACTTTTTTTCCCCTCCAATATAAAAATGTAATGTCACATTTGGCTTTTTCCTGTTAGGGGTCGCCACTTTTTTTTTTCCTCCACTAACTCCACAAATTTTCCAAGTCTGTTCATGTCAGTCTACCTGAAGAAAGTCTATAATACTGTGGCATGAAGTACTGACAAATACAGTGACATAAGTTCTCGCTCTGGTAAATAATTATTAACGGAGTAAACATGATTGAGCACAGCAGACACATGACACATTTGATTAGAGCTCTTCAGTAAAAACATCATGTTTGATGTTTCTGGCACTAAGAGTACTAAAAAAATGCATGCTAGTTAAATGTCACACAAAATATACTCACTCTGAGCCGCACTAAATGTCAAAGCACAAGCCAGCAAAATAACAGCACACAGGACTGTGGAAGACATCCTCGTGTCAATCTGAAACTGAATAAGTGAGTCAGATTTCCCTTGTGTCAGGAGTGTATGTTCATGACAAGAGATAAGAGGAGAAATAAAAAAAACTACTCACCTTGTCTGAGCCTTTGTCTGACTACTGCTCTAGTTTTGACTGGGGCTGCTTTTAAAAGGCTGCTGGGACTGGCTGACTTCTCATTAATTGGCTTGTCCAGTCTAATTAATAATGTGATGATCTCACAGGTTGTAGGGAGGATCCTTCAGTCCAGACTGCTGGTCTAGACAGCATCATTCCCCCACAAACAGCTGGAAGCACATCAACACACATTCGTGCCAGACAGACTGCTGAGCTCACACACACCTCTGAGGAAAAAGAGAAAACGAAGGCTCTGACCTGCTACTCAGTCATACACAGGTGAACCGAACCCCTACATGTCATCATGGCGTTGGTTTGTCAAATCAATACCATATCACATAACTTAACTAATGTCAAGTGAAAAAATGAATAGTGTTTGGTTTAGCACTTAATTTCTCCAGTGACTCAACTGATATTCAGTTTGTTCCACTGATGTTCATCATGCTGTATCACTGCTAATAAAGGTAATGATGACCCATGATAATATGCAATCACAAGTAGTGGAAGATGTATTCGAATGATTTTCTTAAATGTATTACATATAATTGCAAGTAAAGGTCTTACATTCAACATTTTACCAAGGCAGAAATACATTATATTAGCAAAAAACAACAAGTAAAATATTCATTAGGCAAAATGGCTCCTCTCAATATTATGTTAAGAAAGTCCGAAACTATTTTGCAAAGCAGAAATATGTCTTTGTTTCTTTACTTTTTACCAGTTAATGACCCTTAGGATTTATCTAGAGACCCCTCTCTATCAATTTACATATACATTACTAGATTTGGATGTGACTCCTTCTAAACTTTGCAGTATTACTATAGGTTTCCCTCATTATAGGGGAACAATAGGCAGCATCGCTCTTAATAAACCAGGCTGATTGCTGTATTGAAGTATTTTTTTATAATTCAGGTCTGGTCTGCACTGTCGGTATTCTGTGGTTGGAAGTGCACTGTATCATGCCTGTGGTATTTTCCCATCATGCCATGGTCCAATTAGAGGAAAAGTGATAATTATTGCACTTGTGAAAAAATGATAACAGGGTCGGGTTGAAACGACTATCCCTACTAACCAGTCAGGACACTAAGAAGGATAGTTAATTCATCCATTAGCAGAATGAAATGGGGAAATATCAAAGCCCAGCACTTTTATTTATTAACCTTAATATGAAAAGCACTGACTCAGAGAGAACCCATGCCATGCTGAGAAGCAAGTGCTGAAGTCGAAAGTTTAGAAAGGAGCATCAGTGCACCCCCTTGTGGCTACAGGCTTGTCTGAGTTTCCTTTCTGCTCTGCAGTAGTTTGATGTCTCAAGTGAAATGAGTTTCTGCTCTTGATCTCACTGCAAAGTTTGAACTGCTTTTGGTCCTAATTAATGTTTAGCTGCTATATGTAGAAGCTGTTTTGTCATACAGTATATTAGTATACTGTACTGTATGTGCTAATATATCATGTATATAATATGTATAATTATGCTCCCAAAATTTGGATTTTGAAGCTTCTATGGTGCATAAAGATGGAACACCAACATTCATCTCATAAGGGCTGAAACAAGGGGCGATTCATTGATTGTCACAACTAATCAGCAGATCAATTGATAATGAAAATAATTGTGAGATGCACTGTAATGATGTCTAAAGACACAAATATTTTTTACAGAGGTAGATAAGACTATACTATGTCATATGTAGATATTCTTGACAAATAACTCAAAATTATCACCAGTCATCACGTTTGATTTTACTTGTCTTTACAAAAGAGCTAGCTGCTGTGACTTCCTCTCCTAAATTTTGTCCTGATGGTTCTCCCTGGCAGGCCAACCAGTACACAGAGACAGACATCTGGCACAAAGGGACAGCCAGCAAAAAGGCAGTAATATCACTGAGGTGAAGCACAAGGCACTTATTCCCACAGATGGATGTTGCACACCCTGGATCTCCTGGGGAGATGGGAGGACCACTGAGGAGATATTCTGCTTGTTTTTTGTATCCAAAACCGTGTCTGGGCTTTGTGAGCAGTGGCAGCCTTCTTCTGTTCTGGAAGCTTTAATCAGCCAGGCTGTTCAAGCAGTTACGATGATTGGAAAGAGCTCAATGAGAGGCAGATACACAGAGACACACAGGAGAAGAGGTGATGCAGAGCATGTGGGTGTACACATTGGGCCTCATTCAGAAGATAAATGTTGTTCTTGCCATCTTCCAAGCTGATAATAGAAGCTCACTAAATTCATGGCTGTGTGCAAAAATGCACACACTAAAGCTGTGTTCACAACAGGAAATAACACAACAACCTTAGTCTGCTATCAACATAGTAAAAAACCTCAAGTAAAGCTCCCGGTGTCTTTTCAGTTCTTGTTTTCATCTGTACATGTGTGTAGCCAACAAGCTTAACTGAGCAGTCAGAAGAAAACTGATATCTGATATCCTAACAAGTGGCAGGCCTTCATTTGGCATCTGCAAAATCTAGCTGAAATAATGAAAATGCTTACAGTGTGTTGATATAATAAATGAGAACATGATCAGAAAGGACCTTTAGAGGGAGACAGATGCAAGCATATCGGCTGGTGTCTGAAGTAACACTCAAGCAGGACAAGAATAGAGACACCAACAGGTGGCTGGGACTAATGAGTTGTAATTAAATTCAACAGCTAGTATTGTTTTATTTGGGAGATTTTACTGTGAATAAAAGAATCAAATGATTATCCTCAGTTTCATTTGCTTATGCAGATGGAAGTGAGGGGGACAAAGCCAGTCAGACTCTTCACATAAAGGATCTATGTATAACCTTATGCCACACTCTTGTATGTCATCTAATATGACGCATCATGATAAGCAGCACTAGACAAATTATGTTTGCTTGTGGTCAAATGTTCTCTTCCTGGCTGTAGCTCGGTTTGAAGATGGAAGTGATGACATCTCAGCTACTACAGTAGACACTAACTATAACACTGTGCAGAGTTATTTGTTTTTTGCATGATGATCTGCTGCACCCTGTATAAATTTCAATATTGCATCAATCACATTAAATATCACTGCCTCCAGCAGAGAACTCTCAAGGCTCGTAATCACCTGTGAAGGTGCACAGCAGTGAGTCATAACAGCTGTCCATGTAGGAGGCCTCTCAGTGTCACACAAAACACCAGCTGCATGCATACAAAGCACAGTTATACATTCGTAATGTCATCAAAAATAGCAACTAGCTGCAACCTCTGTGTAAAAGGACTTAATTTGTGGGTTTTGCAGATATTCAGCACCAGTCACTTTATCTGGTTGTTGATTGCAGGGTTAGCGCTGTTGCCTAACCCCCTGGGGCCTTTCTGTGTGGGTTCTCTCTGGGTACTCCAGCTTCATCCCACAGTCCAAAGACATGCAGCTTAGGTTGAATGGTGACTCTAAAATGCCAGTAGGAGTGAGTGTGAATGTGCGTGGTTGTTTGTCTACATGTCAGCCCTGTGATTGACTGCGACCTGTCCAGGGTGGACCCCGCCTCTCGCTCAGTGTCAGCAGGGATTGGCTCCAGCCCACCCCCCCGCAGCCCTACTCAGGAATAAGTGGTATAGATAATGCATGGATGGATAGATATTCACTATTGGAAAAGCTTAAAAATGATTGGAGAAGTAGCAGTTCAGAAGTCTAGACTCAGGCTGCTGCAGCAGAGTTGTGATGAGGCCCTTCTGTTGCAAGAACAAATTGAAGCAGACACAGTATGTGTCATTACACTAAGCATCAATAGTGGAGTAGTCAACCACATCGAATGACTTGTTGATAGACTGCATGGGCTTTATATTTCAGAATGCACTGCACCATATGTACTGTATGTTACAGGTCTTATTGAAGAACCAATGAAGAGGATGGTTTTACCTCCTCACTGTCAATCAACATGCACCTTGGCAGTGCTGCTGCCATTACCTCCTCCAGGACTGCTGTCAGAATCTCAGCCATCTTATCTCACTTTGATAAGGAAGGTGGCATGAAGCTAAATATATTCCTGTCACTTTACCCCTAAAATATATCCTGTGCTAGAATGATGGACATGCTCATTACCCTTCAAGCTGCACTTCTATCACATATTTGGTAACACACAAGACTATACATCTAGGTTAAAACTGTGCTAAAATTAAACTTCAAAGGTCATAACATAAGATAATGTTTGAGCTGCAAGCCACCAAATCAGAATATTTATTTTTCATCTAAAAAAAGTTATACCTTCATACTTGGTGTGACTGTATGCAAAAGGAAATATACATGTATACCCCTCTGTGTTGATGATCTGTTTCTACTGTGTGCCTTCTCTCACACTGGCTTTAGCCTCCAAAACATTTAGAACTGCTTCTGGGCCACTGCCAGGTCTTTGTTTTAAATTAAAATGGAGATCCCAAAACTTCCAAATGAAGGCAAAGTTTCTGGGGAAATGGTGTACAACCTGTTCACTTATGCAGAAAATATATATTTCTAATTAATAAAATCATGCAACAATAAAACACACGGAGGGTTAGATAGATAGATAGATAGATAGATAGATAGATAGATAGATAGATAGATAGATAGATAGATAGATGCAGCGCCAAATGTCATATACACTGGTCAATAGTACACATGCACACACAACTCCAGATTTCTCAAAACCTGAATAGTTCATCGTCCAACGTTTGTAACCTCTGATGTAGATCTCTTAGAAAAGGCTATAATAAAGTAGGTCGCAGAGGTTAATAGCTGAATTTTGCCCTCCGTTTGTTCCATTTGATTCCAGAAATGCAGAATGCAAAAGCCAGGTTTCTCTTGTCCATTGCATTTCTATAAGCTGTATTTTGTGGGCGTTACCGTGAGAAGTATTAGCCAATGGGCTGCTTGTATACTCTCTTAGACCTACCTTTCAATGGTTGCTATGCCTACTACGCGTCTCCCTCTGCTTGACAGACCGAGTAGCCAATCTTCGTCGAGCTGGGCGTGACTTTGCGCGCACACTAAAAACTGCCTGGTGAATTTGTACTACTATGCTTAGACCGCTCAGCGTGTTCGCTAGTGTTGCACCGTGGGTACCGAAAGACTGGAGATGGAAAATGCACTATAAACGTTGTCTGGAAACTCTACACAGGTAGTAAATGATTCCTTGTTTTTTTATTCTCTTGTGCATCATGAATATAATTAAGTAGCTGGTGGAAACACTGAGCTAACGCTAGGCTGTTAAACATATCGAGTTGCGTGGCTCTGACATTGTTGACTTGAAACTGGCAGCACTAGTGGACTCGTTTGTTTGACGTATGGACAGAGGGATATTTAGCTAATGTTGTAGGAGAATTCTATGAGAGATAAGTAACTGTATAAGCTTAAAATATAATGTATATCCTGAAACTTTATTAGGTAGTGTTCAGTATAACAAATCCATATATCTTAGCGTTTCTGTAGACGGATTCAGGCTTAGCATCTCCTGCAAAGGTGGTTCAAGGTTTTTTTTGGGCTGATGTTTGATATGTGCCCTACTAACATACATTTATCTGACACTTTGGCTCCCACTCAGAGACTACATCTGCTGTCTGATGAATTTTTGGAGCTGATGCTGATGTTTTAGACAGCTTGGGTTGTGTGTTGAAATGACTATCACTGAATTTCACTGGTCTTTCTGCTCATAGGACAGGTTGTTTTGTAGTGAGGATTACTAAAAAGTTCATATAATCATGGCAGCCTATGATTTAGGCTGACCAATAAAGAATATTTGACACTATTTACAAAGTAAATAAAAAAATCATATAGTGATACTTTGGCCACTGAAACATACAGTAAATCCTTAAACCTTCATTTGTTTTTTTTTTTTTACAAAACTCTTAATATTGGCCATGCAAATGTAATGTTAAGGCTCACTTTTTACTCTAGATGTCTTGGGTATTATTTGGGAAAAGTGAAAGAACAGATTACTCAGCAAACTGAATCAGAACCAGTTTAGGGTTTAATGCTTGACATCACAGACCAGAGACCCATTATGAGGTTTTAGGTTAGGCAGAGAAAACTGTTCATGTCTGCAAGTTCTAACTGGTCTGTCCTGGATATGTGAACTCTTAGAGGTAAGACAGGTATTTGTTTGCTCACCTGAGTGGTTACCTAACTTGGAGACACCCTGACCTAGCTCCTGTAAAAAGACTTCTGTAACTGCAACCCTGATTCGAATCTGGCTGGGGACATTTGTTTCATGCCACCCACTGTTTCTGTACATTTGCTGTCACTTTCTACTTTATGCTATCAGTCATTAAATTAATACAAATTGTTGTTTTTAAGCCAAAGCACAGTTCCACTCTGTTTGATTCTATTAATAATTTGTTGGGTGAAACACTTTCAAAAGCGAAAGACAGATGATAATTTTGGCCAGTTTAGTTTTTCAGGCAGGCACTTTGCTTCACTGCATCACTTTTAGAAGGTGCAAATCATACGCTGTCTGTTTCGATCAGGCAGTCAGACTGGAATTCCCCTTTGACTGCTAGGTACAAGTTTGCTGTTTCACAGTGACATTTGGCTTAATTCTCAAACAGCTATGGTATAAGCCACAGTGTGTGCATGTACAAACCACAGCACAGCTGTCTGCAGGCATTGTTGTTTATCTCTCAGTCTCTGAGAGCAAATGGCAGGAGTTTTAAGTTGAAGGCTGCCAGGACTTGATATCAAAAAAGTAAACAACACTCTCCCTGGTGCCTTGACTTGAACAGGAGATAGACCTGCGGAGTGTTGAGAAAGTGAGTCAAATGGTCTTTCTGCATCATAGGACAGGTTGTTTTGTAGTGAGGATTACTAAAAAGTTCATATAATCATGTCAGCCTATGACTTAGGCTTACCAATAAAGAATATTTGACACTATTTACAAAGTAAATAAAAAAATCATATAGTGATACTTTGGCTGCCGGGACTTGACTTGAAAGTGAGTCACTGTAAGTGGGATGGAGAGAAAAGAGATGGGGAGATGTGAGGGGTACTCACTATCATTGGATTACAAAACTGCACCAGCATTCAGAGGAACAGTTGCCTTTTCTCCCCTCTCCTCAGTTTACAGGTGTGATCTAGGTAAATCATACGTGGTTCCAGGAAGTTCTTGATAATTAATGTTCATTCACTGTTTTCTATAACATCTATTCAGGCTCCTCAATACTGTATATCTATGATTATACTTGGACCACAAGTTAAATCTCTGCCTAGAAGGGCAAGTACTGTATATTGTCTTAAATAAAAAATACTTAGCTCTAAATATGTGGATCGCTTTTATTCTTATTAACTGGTCTGAATGCTAAGGATGGCAGTGTCGGTCTGCTCGTTGGGTGGCCGGTCCACCACACTGTTGATACTGGTGCATCTCAGCAACTACTGGTTGGATTGCCATGCAGTTTTGTGCAGACATTCATGGTTCCCAGAGGATTAATCCCAATTACTTTGGTTGTTCCCTTGTTCTCGTGCCACCAAGGTCAAGGTCAAAGTGTTTATTTGTCATATGCACAGTTAGGAAACGTGTTTCCCTGTACAATGAAATTCTTACTTTGCCGTCCACACGAATGCCACAAAATACAAATGAAATGTAAAGTAGATAAATAAGTAACACCATGAGGTTCACATTTTTGTTTTTTTATTAAAATGACATAACTATATATTTGGTACTGATGTCCATGAATTTTATTAACTGGTAATCCTTGACTTTTAATGCAGAGTCACCGGCAGATTGACATTTCGATATTCAATTAAATTTGTACTTTTCTACGTAATGGCTACTTTTAAAATTTCTGCTTTAGCCTTACGTTGCAGTTGCTAGCACCAAAAGCCTTAAGACTAACCCTGATAATTAAATGTAAAGATCTAGTATGAGCAGTAATGGAGATGTTTATTTAAAGAGCAGAAGCTTGGGCATATTGTTAGCTGATTGAGTGTGCCCTGAGCATTGTCACAGTACCAGTGAGGTTATGATAAATATTGCATGATGGCATATTGCATAGCTCTACAATATTTCAACACTGACCCACATTGTGTGACTTGTCTACCAGATCCACAGCAGCAGTGTCGGCTAGGCACAGTGATAACACTGTGGTGAGGTTATCAACGTGGAGAGGAGTTGGGCATTCCGTGGAAGCACTAAACATCCAGTGTAGAGTCTGTATATGTCAGTGTTAACTTGTAGTTTGTATTTAAAATGTGCAAAGTGGATGTGGTGGTGGTTTGTTTTTTGTCCCAGAAAAATGGTTAGATTTTGTTCATAAGCAATAACACTTTGACACGCTTCCATATTCTGCCCAATCTATGCAGCCGCCAACTCTTCCAGCTATGCAAGGAGGTTTTGACACTTACTTGCATAGCTATTGTATCGACCAAGTTGTATGTCACGTGTTTCCGCCAGAAATGCTGCACTGTCATTTAGTTTACAGAAGAAATGTTTCTGGTGTCAATAAACTGCCAAATGGCAATGGTGTCCCTTTGAGTTTACAGCTTTAGACTGCATAGAGTATGAAACAGACCTTAGGAGTCATTCCAGTTCAGATGTGTAGTTACAGAGCATAAGGTCAGCTACCTGAGACGATAATACAGGCAGTTTAAAGCTGCCCAAGCCTCTGGTGACTCCCTGGGGCTTTTGCTGACTGTTTCCTCACAACCGCATAGCACGCAGCCAATTGCTAAACCATAAACGCCTCTGAAGCCTGAGCTGTAGCTGCCACTGTAGACATCAGCAGTAGAGGTTAACAAAGTGGTGAAAGGCAAGAGAACACTAAGAAGCAGGTGAATAAGAAGAGCTTCCTGTTTTGCATTTAGATTTGAATGGACTAGACATTTTATCTAACAACAACCTACTAAGCGGGCATTTGGCTTAAATATTCAAATGGACAGTAATGCTCATGTGCACACTTGCAGCCATGCATAGTTAATCAGCTGGACGCTTAACTTCCATGATGACTCCTTTCTCTCTCTTTAACCCATAAGAATCTTCTGATGCTGATCCCGCCTGCCTCCATCCCTGTTGGCCCTCCTACAGTACATTATATGGTGCCCATGACATATATTAATTATGCATGTGTGGCTTTTCTTATGTAGGCTGCCAAGCAGGCCAGGGCCCAGAGGCAGGAAGTATGCAGTAGGCAGAAAACAGAAAAACTAACCTGTTACTTTATGAAAACACAAACAAAACTCGTATAACTTTAAATTCAAGACTTTTGATTTACAGTGCATTTAATTCTTGGTATAGTTTGAGTCATGTTCAGATTATGTGTCAGGAATTTAGGTGACATCCTGCTGGTGAATCTTGCATAAGCCCCTTGTTTAAAACCGTGAGCTGTGCCTGAGGCTGTGAACGAGCCCGGCCGAGGTCCCCTCTTGGCTGGTGGGTGGATTTGTGCGCAGGATGATGGAGCAGCCTCCCCAGCTTACTGGTCCTGGGTCTGTTTCTGGGTTACTGTTTCATTTTATGCTGTGTTGTGCTCAGTTGGCAAAAGTGATGAGAAGAAGAAAATTATTGTGCTGAGTTGCTGAAAAGCAGCATGGAGGGTGATTTCATTTTAAGATTATTTTAATTGCCTTAGAATTAAAATGGAATCAGCTACAGCCATGAGGAGAGAAATATCAAATATAATGACATGCTTAAAAAGCATATTAATTCAACATTGGATTCCATAATGATGTTCTTAACTGCTGGTTTTTAAAAGTATTTAAAATGCTATCTAATCTTTTTCTCTTCATTACTCAGATAAAAGGCATCAGAGAAGTGCAGCTGAGATAGTTCATTAATCAGATTATAAGTTGATTAATTATAAATTAGTGAGCTGTTCCCAGTGTGACGTCACACCCAACTGTAAAATTGGAGATGCGGTAATAAGCCCACCCCGTGCACACCCCTATGCTGAGAACATGGGGAGCTAAATGAAAATAGCTAAGCTAGCTGCCTCCAACTACGTTTGGAAGCTTAAACACAATCCTACGGTTCTGAAACATCCAGCTGAAGTCTCCAGTTTGCAACAGCAGGGTCTTCTCCTTCCCATTCAAGATCAGGCTCTGGTTCATACTGTATCTCTATACACTGTCGTGTGCTTTTCCCCTCTACAGACATCAAGAGTCATTGCCTCCAGCCAGTCAGGATAGGTGCTCATGAATAATGTAGATTTTATGTTACTGACTTCCAAAATGGCTGCCAGAGGACAGAGGGGAACCTGGGCTGTTTGTAGAGGTGGAATTTGAGAAATGTAAACAACTTTGGGTGAATAAAATGTCACGTGTGTAAAATAGACTCAATATTTATATAAATGGGTCAGTCCACAGGCCTCGCCCTGATAGTTTTTGGACCCTTAGAAAGCACTATCCACGACTAGGGACTGTTTCTCAGGGTGGAACTACTCCAGACTACTTCAGAATTAAACTTTGACCCTGGCTCCTCCAATGAACATGCAGATGGAGGGACTAAATTCTGCAAAAGAGTTCTCTTCCCCAGGGAAAGTTCCTTTGGTGAAAACAGGGTGTAGGAACAGAAAACACTACAACTGGTACGTGACTAAGCGCTGGAAATTTGTCCTCAGTCTGTCCCCATATACATACAATCAGCTGCAGTGTTAAACTCAGTTCACAGCTGCACTGGTGCACACATGCTCATCTCGAACCTGTGTATGGCCCTCGACATGTATTGTGTTTGTCGTCATGCTGAGCGTTGTCTGCTCTCTCAAAGCTGGTCATGCCAGGGCTTGGAAGTGATGCCCGCCTGGCATGTTGTCATAGACTGGACTGGACCGAGGTTGTAAGCTGCAGGGACAAAAGCACATTCAGACCAGGACAATGGAGAGCTGACTGCCTGGGTTGTGTCCACCACTCTCTGCTTTCTCTCCTTTCTCTCACAGCCTTCTGTCTGTTGTGTTTGCTGTCTCACTGTTTCTCTCTGTCTCAGTCGCTCAGTTCACCAAGCAACCTGCGTTTTGCTTTGAGGGCAGAGACGCACCAAGCTGATGTCGCATCGCTTCACTTTGGCTATGTCTGGGCCAGTTGGGTTGAACAGGGGACACTGGAACACACCACACAGATGACAGCCAATGGCCGACTTGGTACTTTCTGCACCTGCGTGACAGAAATACCTCCCCCCTGCCAGCAGTTGGCGGTATCTGTATTTGCCATTCAAAAAGAGAAAGAAGATGAACTAGAACTCAGAAGTATAATCTATAAACAAAACACCTCTCGTTCAACACAGCTGCTGTTTATAGCTGCTTCTAATTGAGAATATGTCTGATAAGAAGTTGCAAATGACACTGGTCATGTATTGTTCCCAAGGACTGAAAAAAAAATCAGTGCATAGATTAAATGAATTAATAAACTTATTGTTTAATTAATAAACTTATCATGTTTAGTCTGACCAGCGGTGATGATGCAGCAGTAGAGTCAATAAAATGTCAAATGTGTGCTGACACGAGTTCTTTGTTTTGTTGCACTTCAAAAATATGTGACTAATAAAGAAATTGGATTGACTGACATCTGTGCAGATGATCCACAGCCTGTACTGGAAACTGATCATATCAACCCAAATAGGTTTTCTGTTTCTGATAGAAACTACTAACCGTCCATAGTGAAGTCTTGCTCTGAATTACCAGCCACAGCAGTGAGTCATCCCATGCTGGTGGATGTGCCAGATGAGTGCAGAACACTGTCAGTGACAAAAGGGGAAATAAGGCCTGACACAAATGATCCCTTCGCCATGCTTCACCAAATCAGGCTTAGAACTAATACCGAAGGACACACGAGCTGATATGCAGTGTACTAGGCGTCTGTGACACTTCATCTGCTTCGTGAATTTCGCCTGTTTGCCATTGTCCTCCTTCTCTTGGCACCTCGTACCTGCACTTAAGAAATAGAAATATGTCTGCACTGCTGTTGTGTTAAATATAGTAACGACATTAAAGATGGTTTTGAAAAGTATGTACAGGCCCTAGAGTTACAGCTACTGTAACACTTATTGTCCTTACTGATTAAACTGTTGATTATTGTTTCCATAATGCTCATCGTATTTGTTTGACTCACATAGTTCAAGGTGAAAAGCACTGATCATGTCAGTGATGCGGCTCCAGGGTGACAGTATCATTATATTGATCTCTCAGTTGGTCAGTTGGACCAATTTGGTTCAACCTGAAATCTCAGCAACTGAATGTGTTTGCAGACATTCATGATCCCCACAGGTGAACTGATTATGATGATCCCTTGACTTTTCATCTAGTGCCATCAACAGGTCATCATAATACTAGATGGTCTGGCTCAGTTTGCTAAAGACTTTCATGTTCCCCACTTTGTCTCATCTTGTCCTTCACCTGTTCGTTGACCTGCCTGATTATGCAATATGGTTGTGTTTGTTTCCTCATTGTTCACCCAGCTTGTTTCCATCCTCTCTGGTTTTCGCCTCTACCTGTTGTTTTTCCTTGAACTGCTCTATTCCTGTGTGTCATTTAGTTTCTGTCTCCTTCCTGCTTTGCTCCCTGAGATTGTGCTAAATGTGGCTGTTCAGAGGTTTGTGGAGCATCTTGACTCCACGCTTGGCTGTGTCATTACATTTAACCCAGTTCCATTTTTATTTTTGCTCCTCCCCATCTGCTTTTATAAGTCCCAATTTTTCATGGCAGCCATCTGTGTGTTGTCAGGCAGTGTGTGAGGGTGGTGGAGAGCAGAAGAGCTTAGTGTGTCTCCATTGATAAGGCTGGTTGCCTCTTCTTTTTGCCTGTGTGCCAGCGATATGATTGCTTTTACTATCTGTGTGACTGTGCTGCTGTTCTCTCTCTCCACACTCTCTCTCACTCTCTGTGTCTTGTGTCACCCTACTCCTTACTAGAGTCAGAAACATGGGTAAATAAAGCATGACTGAATGTAAACACGATTTTGACTTTGGTGATTCTCTGACTTTTCATCTAGCACCACCGTGAGATTGACATGTGGTTTTGTTGACACTTACCCACATCTAACCAGTCATTTCATAGAAAAGGGGGCACAGTTGCAGACAAAAGTTGCGAGAGCAACTGTAATTGATAATTTAAGTCAGTTGAGCAAAAATGGCAAAACGTCGCTGGTTCTGGCTTCTGAAATCGGAATAATTTTTTTTATTTTCTTTTATCTTCTGGTTTAAAGTTGCGTGTTGGGCTAAACAAGACATTGTAAGATGTCACCGTAGGCTCTGGGCACTTGTGGTCAGCATCTTTTGCCATTTGCTGACATTCTGTGCACCAAAGGACCAGCTGATAATGAAAAGAATGTTTTTTGCAGCCCAAAGCTCAGTGATGTAGGGGTCATTGCAGCTGCAACATAATAAAAGGTATTACTGAACTATCAGCAGCCCTGCTCTATAATATCTCTGTTTGTCTTTCTGCATCTCTCCTCCCTTCATGCCAGCCTGTCCAGCTCTGCCAAACCGAATGTCTGCAGGGGCCTTCAGTCCTGCTGCTGAGCTAATTAACCAGGTGTGAGGTGTGTGTCTGTGTGCATACACTAGGTCTCGCTGTGTTTATTTCTATCTTGTTGCTTCCTGATGCCTGGTCAATAGGCCTGAGATGAGTCAGAGCCAATATGGGGAAAAGGCTGTCAGCGCACACACACAGAGCAGAAGAACAGATAACAGGAACATTGTGTGAGGGCATCCCTGGGGAAGCACCTTCACTTTTGGAGAGCCACAACCAAATGAATTCCAATGCTTTTTCATGTGTGCATTTCTTAAGTGTGTGTGTGTGTGTGTGTGTGTGAGAGAGAGAGTAGGTGAGCAGAGTGTATATTCTCGGCTGCTGCTGCTGCCACAGTGTGTTCAGTCCTGCCATCGATTTAAAAATGGTCTTTGTCACTAAAACGCTGCATTCATGACAACCCTCAGATTAAAGTTTTGTGGAGTCAGGTTTTGTGTCATTGTGATGGGTGGCAGCTGCTCAGGAGCATGACTGTTGAGTCAGCTGATAAGACAGATGCAGCCACATATGTGAGCTGATCAACAGCAGCATGCGACTGAATGTGACTCAGCCTGTGCAGACTGCAGCTACCAGTTTCACAAGCTGGGGTCCTGTCCTTGGTGGCCACCTCCATCTCTTCTGCCTTGTTCCCTCTATTGATTGATCTCTTCTTCCATTTCCTCTCTCTTCCCCCATCTCTCCTGGTACTCCTCCACCCCGCTTTCTTCCTTAGAGTCTATCCTTTGTTAAGTTCCCCTCTGTTCTCCCTCAGTGTCTCAGGAGTTCTTATAAAGCCAAGATTTTGTGGAGGCTTGTTTATGTGCAATTTGCAGAGACTGTTACAGGGCAGAGAAAAAGCTGGAGATAAAACAGTTTTACAGATTGTTACAAGAAACCCCAAAGACACCGTCCTCTTCGTTCTCACCAGCCCTTAGACAGTGATGTGGAGAAAATGTGGCTCGAGCAAATTGAAAGACCTTTAACGTCAGCTTTTCCCCTCTTTTACAGGTTGCAGTAAGTCTGAGCGAAGATGGCCTCCTTTCAGAACAATTTCTGGGTAAGTGTCGAGCAAACGCATTAAATTAGTTATTGTAATGATGGAGGTTATGGAAAAGAACACATGCACACACATGACTTATTCACGGCCCTGAGTTACCAAGCTTTTCATCCATATTCTCAATGGAGAACCGAGTTTAATGCTGAAGTATTTGCTGTTTTCCTCAGAGACTCGCTTGCATACAATAGAGATCAATCTCATAGTCAGCCCTCTCCCGCACCGAAAACAGTCTCACTGTTATTGTTCTTGTAGGCAAGGATAACGTCACGTTCTGCAGTGATGCTAAATTTAAAGTTATTTTCTGAGGCAGTTGCAGTACTCTGTATTTGACATAAATCTGCTACCTACCCTTGTGTTTTCTCTACGGCCTATATGATGCCTGAATTTCGGTACCAAGACCATAACAATACTCTTCTTGATAATATGGAGAATATTAATTTGTTTTAACAAGCAAGCATGATCTAGTGATAAAGGGTGTGAGATGCAGTTCAAAGTTGTAAGTCTTTTGTGAGGGTTTTTTTTTTAAATGCAATATACAAGTTCTGGACCTCAAGCTAGTGTTTGTATGAGACTTGGGAGGAAACCATTCTGCTACTCTGTCCCCAGACGCTGCTGGATTGTTGCAGAAAATAAGTTATGTGCCAAAAGTTTAAGATACTTACATGTTACAGTGCCAGTGAAAATGAGCTTGCTGAATGTTTATGATTTCTGGAGCCTAAATACAGTCACCAGAAGTAAAAAGCTGTTGTTAGGCTTCAAACAAACAGGATTTCATTGTCACCACCACCAAGCTTGTAATTTGATTTCCTCTTGGTGTGACCCGATATAGCTAGTGATCACGGCTGTGTCGGTTCGAGTGGTTTGTGCACACAAACCACAACACAGCTGTGAAGGTGGACTAGTGAGTAGGTAAGACTCCATGTTTGGCGTGATGATGTTTGATATGTCCGACAACCTTCGTGGTCTCATTTAGCCACTTGTTAGCAACTGCCTTTTTTATGAAGTGTAAAAGCATTAGAAAAAATACAAGACTAGTTTTTACTGATGTATTTTATATGGTAGAATAAAACCTGAACATCAGTTTACCTTGTGTTAACCACAGACCTTATTTTGGGCCTTACCCAAAAAATAATTAATGAATTATGGCATTAATTGATGTGCAGTAATTAATAACCTCATTAGCAACTTTTCACAGATGTGTAAAGTGGAGGAGCGAAATCTGTCATCCCCTAGTGACTTTGTCTGCTGTTAGGGGGGCTCTCTCCCTCTCGTTTCCTCCTCTGTCCTCACTTTATCCTCTTCGCTCGGCCCCTGCACACCTGGTGCGTCTATTTCAGGTGTGCCCTACTTCTACGGTCTTGCCTCATCAGACTACAAAACACAGTAGTTTTATTTATTTATATTTTTAGTTCAACTAAATCAGCATATTAAGATACAGAAATAAAATCCTGAGCAGTATCGATCCTGTAACAAGACTTTTTTGCTTGACGTAGTGATTGTGGCTGCCTATGGATCATTCTGTTTTGCTGTCTGCTAGAATATTAAATTATATCTCAGGTAACCTTCTTTGCTTTTGTCTGAATGAGGATTCATCTTTGCTTTTCCATCATCTAAAAATCAATGTAATTATAAAAGAGCAGGTGTTATAATTAAATACTAGGCCAGCAGGACTCAAAACTCTTGGTTTATGGATATGCATGTGTTCTCAATGGATGCATAATAATAATAATGCTGAGGGCTTGCTAATTGTAGCTGTCAGCGTGTTGTACAGTTGTGCACCTTTTTTTTCCCTGATAAACATCCATCTTTGTTCCACAGATGGTGTAATAGTGCAATCTTTGTGCTGCAGGCGGTTTAAAAAAAAAAAAAAAAAAAAAGCAAGTGAATGAGAGCAGACTGGCAGGAAGGGAGGCAAGCAGACGAACAGCAGAATTTCAGCCAGGCACGAAGACGAGTTTCCAGTGCTGCTGTGTGCCTGTATTGCAGAGAAGATTAAATGTTTGGCTTTGTTACAGTTCTTGCCTTCAAAACATAGGCAAAAAAATAATCTACTTCCTTGATCATTTAAGTTAATAGGGTGTGTGTTCGTTCTGACACAAATAACTGTATAATACAGATCAACCTTTTAGTTAATTAGCCAGCACAGCCACTTGGGAACAAGTCACACACTGAGCCTCTTCTTGTTTGGCTGAAGAACATTCACAGCTGCTCATAAAGCCTCTTCACGGCACACCGTCCTTTCTTGTTGAAGCTCTGTGGTCGTAGCCCACAGGGGGAAACCCATCAGCTATAATTAAGTACATCCTTAGCATTAAGGAGTGCCTATACTAAGGCACTGTTAAATATTTGTAGTTTAATTTCTTTCTCTGTAAAGATCAGTGCGGCCTAGTTAGCATTTTCATTTTCAGAAGGATTGTATGCACAACAGAATTTCCCCATGAGAGATATTTGAAAAAGGTAAGTTTGGACATTGACTTTCTGTGGCCAAATGCAAAGAGAAGGTGGAAGGCACTGGGGTTCATTAGGGACCCACAGCTCCTATTTGCCCTGGGGCCCCCTAACGCAGTGATCAAGTAATATTTAATGGATTTCTCATGCTCCTGCAGCTGTTTCACCACCTCTCACAACAATTTTAAATTAATTTAGCTGCTATGAGCAGCTCTTCTTTTTCCTTGGTTCATTGTACTGTGAGAGAATGGTGTCCCTCAACTGTGCTCCCAAAACTCAGGCCTTGTTAGGATGATTTCTGGCTGTTTTGACTGTATTTTATGTAATCCCTCAAATGTGAGCACATTGCAACAAAAACTGTTTAAAATTAGGATATGGTATGGAGTCAGCGGGATCATAAAGACCACTGTTTCTCTACAGACAGTAGCTTCATCCTGGTGGGATTTTTAGCTTTTGGAAATTATACCACATACAGTAACTGAAAATGTTTGAATTCATCATTAATGAAACCTGCTCCCCTCTCTCGTCCGAGAACACACCGTTTTCTCTCTCTGCAGTGGTGAATAGACAGTCTTTGCAATGAGTCTGCATATTTCCCAATGGGATTTAAATGAACTACTAAGCAGAAAGAGCAGCATATGTTTTAGTTTCGGGGCTGTACAGTTTACAGTATCGTCTTGTAGCTTCTCTTCCTCGCAACTGCTCCTTCTTTGCCCACAGATACAAGATTGTGAGTATCTCTGTGCACACAAACAACGCCCAGTGGTTTTTTTTGTTTTGTTTTTTTTCTTGCCTGCTTTTCAGTTTAAAGATTGCGGCATTGCTCCCCTCCCATCACTTTGAGGCCTGAGGTTTTCTCTTGGGATGAAGAACGGCAAACACACAGTGTGAAACTCTTTTCCTTTCCATATTTCTCTCTCTCACCTTGGTCTCTTCTCTCATTGTGTCCCTCTCTGTTCCCCTTTTCCATCCTTTTCCTTGTTCTTATTCTTTGAGTTGTTCTTCATGGATCAGTTCTGTACAGAGTTAGATTAAAAAAACATGATAGATTAATATAAGAGGTGCTTTTTTGTGGAAAAGGAAAGAATATAGCCAGAGCCCTTAAGATAGAGTTGGGGCAGCGAGGGCTCAAAAACAGTAGCGGGTCATGTGACTCATGCTTTGGATAACAGCAGGAGCCTATAACAGGCTGACACTGGGCGAGAGGCGGGGTACACCCTCGACAGGTCGCCAGTCTATCACAAGGCTCACAAGATTAATTATTGCTATTAATTTCAACTTCTTACTTTAGAAGATAGCAGCCAAGTCGGTGCAGCTCTCTGGTGCTGCTCCTAGTGTTTGGAACAATTCAATGTTCCCATGATCCGCCATTACTGACAAAACTGGTTCTTAGAGTGTCAGTGGACATGTCGTCACTCTCCTTCTTAAACCACTCTGACTATAGGGAAGGAAACGGGATTATTTCATTATGAAATAAGTGGGGGTGGGTGGTGCTGCGTATTGAACTTTCATACTTTTATGGCATGTTAACAGAACCTAAGCTTGTGGTAATTAGGTTTACTTTTTATGTTATGAAGCTGCTTTGAGTGCACAAAAAGGCCAAGGAATTGAAAAATAAAACTAATGATCTGTACCAAAATACTGAATGTATGTCTATTGTTGGGTAAAATTGGAAAGTATTGTTTAGGAACTGGTAATGGAGTCAAGGTATCGAGAATTTTTGGAATAATACCCAGTTAAATTCACTGGATCAGCCCAAACTAGCCATTTTTATGTGACTATTTGATCTACAAACTGTTGCTCACTTTCATTTTTCAGAGTAAACAATCTCATTACATCAGTTGTAGTGTCTATTATCACAATTTAAAGTTACCTAATCTGTGAGAAAAGCATAAGTGCAGCTTTCCAGGAATACAGCCTACACTTCATGATGACGGGCTGCTACTGCCTGCTCCTGATGTTATTGACACCTCTCTGCTTTGGGACTGTTCATTCTGCTCAACCTGCCTAGTCAGCAGAAAACATTTTTGCGAGTCAGCTAAACACACAGCAGCACTGACGGACCGGTCGGTGGATGGATGGCTCCGTGATGTAGTGTTCGACACACGGTTTTCAGTTTTACTTTTGACAGCTGCCTGATACAGCAGGGCTGTATTATATAGGATGTGCACTTTAATTTTTAATTTGAAGCTTGTCAGAATTGCTGTGACAGAGTAAATCTGGTGCCATTTGGCTCTGACAACTGTGACACTTGGCACAAATGGAAACTTCTTCACCTAAGTCAACAGGCAGTGGCAGAAAATAAAAATTAAATCTTTTTTTATTATCGTATTCACTGCACCTCTCTGCCTTTTTTCTTGCAAGATTCAATTTATATGCTTCACTGCTGTTCATGTGAGCAGCCCCTCAAACAGTAGAGGTTTATTTCATTCTAGCTAAAAAATGGTTTTTATCTCCGCAGGTCGGAAGAGACTTGAGAGAGCAAACCTGAAGAAGTTGAATTGTGAAACCACTTTCCACATTCGACTACTTCAGGTTCTGCTGAATGCCTG